ATTGAATTTTAATTATTGTAGTAAAGTTATTTTATTATTTTTTATATATACATATATACAAGGATTTTATTGTTCTTTGAAAAATATGTTAAAAATATGTTTTATTTTTTGCTTGGTGATAAATTCTATTATCTGACGCAAATAATCAAAATGAAAAAAATTTCACTCGTAGAATGAAATAATTTATGGAAATGCTGAAAATTAGATGAATTTTTTACAAAATAAAACAAAAATGCAGATTAATTTTGTTTTTATACAAGATTATTCAAATTTATACAAGTGATAAATTTTTAAGTACTTAATAATTTGAAAAGATGAAGTTTTTTTAATCTTGTATAACAAACAAATTTCAGTTTGTATTTTTAATTTGTTTTTATGTTAACAATCTTATTCTCAATTATACCAAACATTATTTCCTATCTTGTATAGTAAAGTGCTGATTTTTCATTGCATTTTCATTTCATAAGAATGCATTATTCATCTATCCATTAATATCTTTTTTCATGGAATGTTTATCAGTTAGATAGCTATAACGTTTAAAAATTAAAAGTGTTCTACTACACTTCTGATCAAATATTGTTCTATTGTTCTTGATTACTTTATCTTGAAATCAATGTGATTATACTGTCAATATATAAATAAGATATTAACCATATACAGAAAAAAATTTCCTTAACATTTAGTTACAGTGGGAACAACTAAAATTATATAGAACAATACTGTCTTTTTCTAAAACCATTGAGAATATCAAGAATTATTTCCTCTGGAGTATTTTCTGAATACATGGGCATGATTCTAAAAACAATTTAAGAATATTAGAACTATTTGTATTAAAGGGAATTTCTGTAACAACTTTTTTGTAATCTACTTATGTATTATAAAAGTGGGACCTACGAAATATCAAAGTAAATAAATGTTAGCTAAATAAATATATATTTACATGTTTTGAAACATGTTAGTGATCAATGATCAATATAAAAAATTTAGAGATTCATGATATCTTTGATGGTTTTAGAGAAATTAATCTGAATACTGGAGAAATTAGTTACACATACTATATTGCTTATATAAAATATAAGAAACTGATTAGAACAAAATCATCAACTAAATGTGAGAAAAAATATAGTACAAAACAGTTTGTAAAGTGTTTTCAGTTGTTAAAACGAAAAGAAAAGGACAGGCGAGAGCAAGCGAGAATTGAGAAAGATTATAAACATTTTATGTAAGTAACATTGCATAATTTTTAATCTCATTAACATAGGATGCAATATTATTTGAACTGAGAAAGTTCTATGTGCTGGTTTTTCTAATTTAGCTGCATAACTACTGTAATCAGAAATGTACAGGTGTACAAGAGATAATTAAAAATTTAGATCATATATCTATACTTTCTTTTTCAACTTTTACGGAACTTGTTTGTATATGAATAAATGCTTTTGTATATAGTGAAAATCTGTTCGAATCTGTTGAAGAAAATATATTGTTAAAACAGAAGAAATCCATCTTGCTATGATCAATCCCTTCATCAGCCACCAGCTTAATTTTAGAAAAAACACGTTTTTCTTCGTATTTCTATATTTTATGCAATAAATATGCAATAAATCTGTATAATACAAAATGACACAAGATAAAATAGCTGATCACGATAATTTTTCGACAAGTAACAATAGTATATTCAATTATAATTGGAAAATATATTCTACAAAATCGATAGAGAAGAAGCTTAGGATTTAATTAGAAAGGTATAGTTAAAGAGTGCATGTAAATTTATTCTCCAAATACATTACATTGCATTTTATAAAATTCGTTCAACTCGTAGTGAAACTAATCGCCAAATGTCAAACGAGCGTTGACTCGTTATCTATTTGATAATTCTTTCGCATTATGTAAGTTAATTGGAGGAAGAGGATCGTAATTCGTAAAATGCTATAGCAAAAATTCACAAGTCAATCTTCTTAATCAATTTTTTTATAATAAGTGAGAATTTAGTTCGTTCGTAGGCATTAAAACACTAGCAACGAAACGTTGGAACTATCAGCTTACGCTTTCTGCCGCTAGTGTTTCAATGTCCACAAATTGAATAAATCTTCATTTGCGAAAAAAAATTAATTTTGGAGATAATTTGCAAACTTCTGCGATAGTAATCATCTTAATTAGATCTGTAATTTCAATATTATTTCCCATTTGACTTCGAAAATTATGGGAATAAATATTTTAAAAAAATTTAGTATCAGTACTTTGTCGATAGATGGCGCTACCATCATTGGTACCATTTGGAAAACAGGATATTTTGTACTAATTGTTTGTAATTAATTAACATAAGAAATCAAAATTAAATTATGTAGGCTCAGTTCCCGGGAACAGGAGAATTTTAATTTAATTCCTGGACTGTTTGAAAATTCGGCTTATAAACTGAAACTGGAATTAACAGTTATCCTGCTATTCGATTTCATATAGAGAAATGATTGTTGGGTTGAAAAAATTAATTACTAAAAATTCTATGTATACAATTATGTAATTTAAATTGTATATTACAATATGTACACTTCCTTATATATGTAGTTATTTAATATTAAATTACAAAATGTACATGACGCTATATACTCAGTCAGTTATACATTCAGTGTATTGCTATTAGACATAAATAATATAAACAATAATTAATCTTACAATATAAATTATAAAAGAATTAGAAATTACGACAATAAGGCACTAGTTTGACAGTCGAATGTTTCTTTAAAAGTAAATGTAATTAAGATTATAAGTACACTGTACAATGCATCCTTAAATTGAAACTACTTTTATTATGTCTTTTTAGGTATTCAATGATCTATTTCGTTTACTTGTCGAATAGAGACCACGAGGATCACCATAAACTGGATCAAATGCAGAAAATGAAAATCTTGTCGGTGTAACTGGAGTTCTTGGAGTTGACATAGTTGTATTTAATGGAGGTGAACAGGGTGTACTAGTCTTTTTCAATTGAGGAGGGCATTTATCAGCTATAAAAGATGAATTTCAATTAAAGTTTGTTTATTATATTATTATAACGTGAAAAATTATGTTGTCAGAAGTAATATACGTACCAAAAATTCCTCTATTTTTTATATTCAAGTCGATACTTGCCATTTTATTCTTCCATACTATAAAACAAAATAGATCCGATATAATATAATATAATATAATATTCGATAAAATATTTATTCGATAAATTAATGAAATAAATAAATAGTAAAATGCTAAAAAAGACTCACTATAAAAAAAAGTAATTACAACAACAGCAAATGTTCCAAATGTATAACGATGGAAATACATATAATCTACCCAGTGGATTCCAGATAATGGTATGAAATTTTCATATTTTGTTACACGTACGAAAAGCTACAAGAAAAAATAAATTATTAATTGTAATAAATTACAAAATTCCATAATTATCTTTTGTTTACTTACGGATATATTCTGCTTTGTAATATCATTTGCAATAATAACTTTTTGGCCTTGGATTTCTTCCTGATTATGCATCAAACGAAGTTTATATTGTATTGTAGATTTTGAAATAAACTGTCGAGCACTTATAGTCATTCCATCTGGTACATCAATCTATAAAAATTTGTTATAAATGAAATAAACTATGTTTTAAAATTTACTTCAACTTATGTAAAATTAAACTTACAGTAAGATGATTTAATATAGATTGCAATCCATATATTTCAAGTGTTGCTGATGGAATATTCTGAGAATGAATATTAATAAAAATAATTTCCTTAGCATCAACGTAAACAGGAGGTAGATATATAACTTCTAAAGGCAAAGCTTCAATATCTTTACTTTGTGCACTTATTTGAATACGACTTTCTAATGTACTAGAAATTATATTTGGAGAACCCATTGGAAGTATATCACAATAATAAAAACCTACAACAAACAATTTAAATATAGTTAAACAAATAGTAAATTTCATTGTAGAAGATTAAATTGAACATACCAGTCGCAATATCAAACCGCGGTTTGACAAGAAACAGATCTTTTACTCCAATAGATGAAGTCGATGAAACGAACTGTATATTACATGTGTAAGGAAATGAATTTAAAGTAAATGAACTGAACGTTCTACAACCACCTAAACCTCTAGACAGGATATTATTTTCTTTAACTTGTTCATCTTTACTCTTAAGTACAACAGGAACACTAAAAATTTCAGTTCCAGTAATATTTCGGCCTCTTAATGGTACAATCGACACCTGCATTTACAAGATAATACTATGTATAATTTCAGAAAATATTGATGATTAATAATTTCAAGTGAATTGTGAAATACAGTACCTTTGCAATAGGTTGAATATGAACTTCTATTTCACCTTGCATATGAGTTGCAAGACTATGTTTTACTACTGCATAACCAATGTTCTTTGCTCGACCTATTCCTGTAATAGGATCTACAGTTAATATTTCAGGAGCAGAAGATTGCCAATAACCTGGATCGCCATCAAAAGATAGAAGTGGCATTGAAAAGCACACTATGTCGCCTACTGTTAGTGTAGTCTATAATAAATTATAAATTTAAGTGATATACAACATATAAAAATTTATATTTATACATAAATGAACATATAAATTACCTTTGTAGGAAAAACTATATCACCAATCATCATATGTACATAATCAAACATTGCATTAGGATATTTTTCATTGTATACTTTTACAACAAGATCTCCATTCTCAATGAATTTTGCAGTAACTATATTTTCAGAATTTCTAGTAAATGATACAAGATCCACTCGATTTAATATAGTTTTAGCATCAACTTCAACGGCATGAAACTTTGTTCCAATATTGTCATAATATTCGAGAACATAGTCCAATTCCATACCTTTCGGTAACATATTCAATTCTTCTCCATTTCGAATACGTAAAATTGATTTTAAAGATAACATCATATAATGAATAGGTTTAACCTGAAAAACAAAATAATAAAAATATAAATTTCGAATCAGGTTTAATAATATATCAGACCTTAATAATATAATACAAATCTTACTTCAACAATAACTGTTAGTGATTGTTTTAAATTATATGCTTCAGTGTTTGTAATAGAAATAATTATTTTTCCAATAGTCTCGCCGGCTTTTATGATGCCATTTTTATCAATAGTAACAGTTTTAGACGCAAGTGTTAAAGCCTGTAAATCCATTGAATCATTTCCATGTATAGTAGATAATACTTTATAAAGAGTTGAACCATGCTTGTCACGATTTGTTTCTAATTTCAAGACAGAATTTGGAGACATTAATATGACTGGTGCATTCAAAGGTAGTCCCAAGTGCATTAAACGCAATTCCTCAAAAATTTCAACTTTCACAAATGTAGTATATGTTACATCACCTTTAAAACCAGTTAATATATTAGATGGCATTGTAACATTTAAATAAATAGTTGCTAATCCAGGGCCAACTGCTTTGGCCCTCAAAGATACCTCATTTTGGTATCTGATGTTAATGCCAGTGCCTTCATACATATTGTGCAATGTCACTAAATTAGAATCACTAGATGACCACATAAAAGTCAATGGTAACTGCATAGAACCTATTATAAGAGGAGTTAAATGTTCTGGGATACCAAAGGCCCAAAGTGGAAATATTGCACCTACTTTAACTCTACTTGTTGGTACAACAATTTTAACTCCTTCAAGATGTAACACATGTATGTCAGCATGGTCTTCAGAATAAATAACTTTGTTGCCTTTAGCATTAAGACCAATGGCTCTAACAATAATTTTTATTTGCCCAACTAATTTTCCTTCGAATATACCATTATGATCAATATTTAGAATATCATTATTTTCAGTAGAGAATTCAATTTCTGCATTTGATGGTCCTCCTATTGTTTGTACTTGATAAACAGTTCCTACTAATATTGTTAAATTTTTCGGAAAAACTCTTAAAGGAAGGAAGACTTGAATAGTTGCTGATTCACTCTGTATCTCTTTTTCACCACCTTTACTGACAAAAATTAATTGAGACTCTCCTTCTGCCATTCCATATATCATATATAACAATTGATTATAAGGAGAATTACCATGTTCACTAGCAGGTAATTGTTTAACTTCTATGCATTCATTATCGATTTCTGCTTTAAAATCTAGAGCATTTAGAGATGGTAATTTTATAGCATGGCCATTTGTGTCGTAAAGTTTTAATGCAGCTACTATGCACTTTCCTTTTTCAATTTTATTCACTGTTTCTATTTCTATTATGGCAAGTTGTTGTATTTCAATTGTAACTTCAGCTGGCTTTGAAGGCAAACAAAGATCTACTAATGATAAATGAAGTACTCCAGATTTTTTTGGAATAAAGCTAATTGCTTTTGTTGACTCTATGTATCGAACTTCTGCAATATCATCTGAACTCAATACAAATTCATAATAACCAGAGCCTTGGCTCACTTGTAAGTAATATTTTGCGGTAGGATCATTTAATACCATTAATTTATCAGGAGTAACAGATGTATCATTGACTAAAACTATTTCCACAGAAGTTTCTATAAGAGGCGTTTCATAGATTTTTCTTTCAGTTTCAATTGCGAATGGTGGCCATTCTGGTATTATTTTTAATTTACTCAATATATATTTTTGATAACCCGTAACTGTAGCTGTTAATGCAAGAGTACCAGAATGTTTTTTAAAGATGACATTCTGATAGTAATTTTTTGGTAAAATAACATTCATATCTATAATTGTTCCCTCTATAGAACCAGAAGGCATTTCTACGAAACCTATAGTCGAGGGTTTCAAATTCCATTCAATGCGTAAACTCGTTATATTATCGAATGTTCTACCTTCCTCGTCTTTTATCACTGTAATAAGCTTTAAATTTTTGTCGCTATGTGCCATTATTCTTTCTGTATTAATATTGCTAATAGGGCAATTCTTACTATCTTTAAATTCAGGTTGAAGATAAATATGTCTGGGTTTGCCACAAATCACTTTAATCGTTTCAAATGCATATGTACTTTTACAATTTGGCAGTAGAGGAATATTTGAAATCGTATATGTTACATCCACTTCTCCAAGGCTACGACACATTACTTCAAAAATGGATATATCGTATAATCCAGCTGAAGAATCAGAATATTCTATTACATCAACAATTTTTTTCTCAGATACTTGAATTTTTCGTGAATAACTTTGAGGCTTGTTAGACCATGGATGGGGTCCACCTCTAAAAATTATTTTTCTTGATGAACCCACTGTTAATAAAGTTTCCTTATTGCTTGGATGTATTGCTATTAAAGGTTCATAGGCCGACACAGTAACATTATCAGTCAAATATTGACCATTTGCATTATATCCTACTGTTACTTCGGATGTTCCAATATCTACACTAGTAATTGCTATAACTGCACATGCAATACCTATGGCAGGTTCTATGGCACTACTATTGTTTTGTACAAAATTGCCATCTGGAATGTATATTTCAAAATTAATATCTCTGCAGTCATTAAAAGGAATTTCTTTAGAATCTGTTCCATTAATTAATCTTCCATATAATGCAATGTGAAGAAAAATTTGTTCTCCTACAGCAGCTTCCATACTGTATTCAATTATTTTTACTTTGGATGGTGGTAATACATATACTCTTGCGGTATCTTTATTATACTGATTTCTTGTCATAGCAACATTTATTTCTGTTACACCAGCTGCTAAAATCCTCATTCCTCCATTTTGAGAAATTGTTGCTATAGAAGGATGTTTGCTTGACCATACATACGATCCATCTCCTCCACTTGCTTTTAATACAATATCATATCTATAAAAATAAAATAAAATTTGATAAAAATACTATTGTTAGAAAAAAAGAATAAATAGTAAAGAATAAATAATAAATAGTGTAAATAACCTCGATTTAGCTTTAAAATCCCATGGAACTGCCAATATTTTAGGTTGTATAATAACAGGAGTATGAATTAAAAGCTCAGCTCTTGTAGTAGGATGTGAAGCAAGAGAGACTTTTTTACCATGTTTATCAATTATGCCATAAAGAGTAGCTTCAACAGTCATTGTTCCACATGTGACAGGTACACCGACAATATATGTACCGTTTTGCGTTATCAATTTTGGTTCAAAGTAATATTCATTTAATTTCACTGACACCTCAACACCTTCTCCAATGTGAAATTTATGATCTTTGTTGTCATATAATTCAACAACAATTTCATGAGTATGACCAAGTACTAAACCCCAATTTCTATTGGGTAAAACAGTAAGCATTATATACGCTACATCATTTACATTAACTGTAGCAGATGGCAAAATAACAGGATATTCATCACGTACATTTTTGTCATGTAAAAATACTTTGGTACGTCCTAAAGATTTAGCATATGCAAAATCACGATCATTATCAATTTCTAATATGTTAGGATTTTCTGCTTCTAGATAATATTGGCTAGATGGCAAACTTATTTCTTCTAAACGACCTTGACGAACCTATAAATAAATGATTAGAAATTTAATTGGCATTGAACTCTAGAATATATGAATAATAATATACTTACTTGCATTATTTTATACTTGAAACTATCATATGCCATAACTGTTGTGTCTGATGGAATAATAATTAAATTAGCTATTACAATTAATTCAACTTCTATTGGTGGAACGTGTTTATATTCTGGATAAGGTAATTTCACAGAAACCTGCAACAAAGAGTATTTTATTTTATAAAAAATTAATCTACTTGAAAATACTATAAAATGAAATATATGGAATATATCGATACCTTTGCTGTACCAGTTTTTATTCCTTCCAGCAACACAATATGACCTTTCTTACCAATTGCATCTAATGCAGCAACTGTTGGCGGAGTTTCATATTGTGATTCCAGATAAGTCATAAATCTTAAAATAGCATTTGGTGCTTTAGAGTCTGGCATATACTTATCAGCATTGTCTATGCTCCAAAGAAATTCTACTCCAGCAAGAGTTGTAAATTCATTTCCTGCGAAAGTACATTTTAGAAGTTTAAGTTTTAAACTTCAAAATTACAATTTTAAAATAATATAGTACAAAATAACAAATCTTCTTGTTAAAGATTCTTACCTTGTTCATCATAAGCACGTACTTCGAATGCTTCTGGTGCTTCTTCAATGTACAATTCTCTTGTAGTTGTCACAAGATTTAAAGAAAAAATTACGTCAACTATAACATCACATCTTAAGAACTGTCCGTTGTTAGCATCTTCTGCCAATACTATTGCAGTGTTTCTAGTGGACTCTCTTGTTATTGTTTGAATCAATATAGCAGAAGAACAAGTCCTTTCGACATTTTCATTTATAGGAATCAATTGGATAATATCTAATCGTGATGTTGACCTGTTATCAAATAACATTTTATTTCAAAAATAACACTACAACAAAGTATATCAGAAATTGTAGTACTAAAATAAGTAAGAAAGAATAAAAAATTTGACATGAAAAATATAATTCTAAAAAGAATTGATTTAACATCAAACGTATGAACTAGAAGATTGAATTACAAATAAGAGAGCAACAGAGTTAATTATAAAAGAAATGATAGTTACCATTTGTAGCAAGCACCGTCAGTAACTTCAAGCGTGAAATTTACAGCAAAATTATTAAATACCGGCAATAAAACTCTAGGAACATTTAATCTGTGCACCGAGGCGCTCGATATTAAACAAAACAAAATAGAAAATATCGAGAGAAACATATTTGGGGTTCTCTGAATTTAACTACAATTTCTTCACGTGTATTCAACGGTAATCTACTGAACTTGGCGGTCTCTAAATAGCTTTCAAACCAGCATCATGTTTCGATACTAATCGATAATTATCGACATTGATCAAGTCGATTTTCGAATTACGTTTGACTTTTATTTTAAAAGGAAAAACAAATTTTTACTACATTCCCAATATTTCTCACGTATCTATTATTGATTTAAAGAAAACACTATTTATTTAGTTTCTTCTTCTTTAAACTTACTTGACTTTGTTTTACTTTCAGTGATACGGCCAATCGGAAATGATTTGTAGCCGCTGCTACATGAGAAAGCGCCGGAAAGTTACAACGATGTCAAGCATATTTCTTGAGTGCGCAGGATTATTCTCCCGCGCAAAATTAGCGAACAAAAGAGCGATTTGAGAAGGAAGAACATCCCAATAAATATTAACATTTTTGCACAGGGCTAACGAGATCACAAACACAAACGTTACCAAAATTTGTATATCCCGTTGTCCCTGTGTAGTTGCTCATGAAAATATCCGAACGCTCGGGCTCTAAACAACCAAAAAACTCGTAACGTAAAAGATTCGGTTTGTAATATTACGCCGTGCATACAGAAGATACAAATCTTTGAAAATATGTGAGTAAAATTAGGTAGAAATCTGATAATAAATCTGTTTGAATAACTGTAATGCAACAAGAAGTGTAAGCGTAAGCTTACGAAAGTCACAAAAATATTTGAACGCGTGTAGAAATTAAAGTGAACACTTCATCTAATGTAATTGTTGCATTTCAGTCAACAGCTAAGATACGAGGATTTCATGGAGAATAATAATAGTCTCATAAATTTTTTTTAAATATGGCTACAAGAAAATCTATGAAAAAGTCAGAAACCAGTAAGAGCGAGCGTGAGTTGGTGGTGAAGCTACATGAGGAAGGAAAATCTTATCAGGAAATTGCAAAACACATAAACAGGAGCAAGTCAACTGTACACTATATAATTAAAAAGTCAAAGAACGAGGGGAGTATCTTGAACAATGCTCGTACGGGACGACCAAAGAAATTAACTTCCAAGGAGGAGAAGCTTGTTATAAAAGAAATAAGGAAGAACCCATACATTTCTGCTCCGCAGCTTGCTGGGATAATTGCTGTCAGCTTTGGAAAAGATGTGCATGCTGAATTGTGTCGTAGAATTTTACGGAACAATGATTATCATGGAAGAATACCACGAAAAAAGTCAGATGTTGACAAGACAAACATAAAGAAAAGATTAGGCTTTGCAAGAAACTCTGTTGACAAAGACAATAGGTTCTGGGATAAAGTTATTTCCTCGGATGATAATAAATTTAAGCTTTTTGGTGCTGATGGACCAATGGAGCATCATATATGGAGAAAGAAAAATGCCCAATTAGAGAAATAAAATTTACTTCCCACTCTGAAAACATGTATGTGAATCGGCTCAATTGTGATATAGGGATGTATGAGATTAGAAGTTTCGTTTTTGGTTTGTTGAAAGATTTTTATTTCCAATAAAATAATATAAATAATGCTTAGACACAATTATTGTACAATGCTTTTTGCATATTGAACATTTCTACAGAGAACTTAAAAATTTTCATCATTTTATAGAATTTCCATTTCATTGAAATTCTGTAAAATGAAAAAAATATGTATATTAAAGATAGACATATACACTACAAACATACACTACTATGAATAATTTATGCCAAAGCAGGCCTTGGTATTAAGACAAATTAATATAAAAATAATTCTTACATTTGGATACTTTTGTGACTCCAATAAAAGATACGTTAATGTTTTATCAATTTAGTATACATCATTAAATTTTCTTGTAATTTTACCCATATTATTACATTCTCAAAACTTATATTTTTCACTTGCTGTAATATTGTAAAGACTAATCCATGAATTTTATTTGTTAACAGGAGCATAAGCATTCAAATAATTTGGTAAGCAAGTGTACACCTCCTTAAACTTTGAAGAACTTTAATAACATTGAACTTTTAAATTCTTGATTCGACTAAACAATTAGCTTTTTATATAAAATAGAATAACATATTGTAAATATACAAAAAATATAAATAATTGTTTAATTTTTCAAAATGTAAAAATAATTATTTTATATTATATATTTTTTTTATATAACTTTTTAACTACATAACAATAAACAAACTTATCGTATATAATTAATATCGTATATAATTAAAATCAATTATTTACAATATTCACATTTATACTTTTCAATATATTCTATATTAGTACATTGAATTATTATTTTAAATTCAATTTGTTTTTTGAACCTCGGTGGAATATCTGGCATGATTCATCATAGACTCAACTCTGTTAGCAGTTTCTCTTACAACGTCAGATATTTCATCTGGTAAATGATCTAAGGTAGGAATGTGTGCAGACAGTCTTTTGTACACAGAATCTCTATTTCCATCTTTTTTGTGCCTACGTTGTTCTTCATACTTCAATTGTTGCTTGAAAAATATGGCATTCTTGATGAATTCTAAAGTATTCTCAAAACTTTTTCCAGCACCGTGCATTGTCTTAATTGCACTTACGGCATATTCCACATCGTAACATTTGCCTAAAAGTTGCTGTTGAAGTGCAAGTACTTCTACACGTTTTTCTACCATAGGAGGCAATGCCTTTCTTACATGTTCCTGAAGTCTATAAAATGCGAGTGACGGTTCATTTGCAACAATGTGCATATTCTCAGATATACGTTCAGTTGCTAAAATGGTAAAAAAAAAGTAAAATCATTAATGATCTAAATGCATTTGCAGATAAAGATATATAGAATTCTAACCTTTCTTAACCTTCGTTTCTAATTCTTGATCCGGTTGATATACTTTTGCAGTCATTATGCAAGATATTGTGTTAATTTAAGATATTGTGTTTAATTATCAAAAATCTATAAGAATAAATGTTATACAAAATTTCGAAATTAAATTAACTCGGTTAATTAATGAAGAATGATGTTTTGTATTTTATAATATGCACAATTACCATGTTCTCCAACAACAATTTCCATGTTCTTATTAACGTATAATATATGATATTACAAATAACTTACTCAAATATTTTCATTGTATCGATGAAAATCTTAATAAAACACTAATTTGTTTTCACCGCCATTTATTAAATACCCATCACCGGAAGTTTAATTACAAGTAAAACTATTTTTTTTTTTCTCGATATATATTGTTCATTTTCAAATGTATTATTATGCTAGTACGTAAATTTGACTTAATGTTTAATAATGTAATACGTAAATATGTAAATTAGCAAATTTAAAATTATCTATACAACCATAAAATACAAAACATATTCATGTGGATAACGCAGTAAGCGGGAGATTAAACCTTAAGAAGGAATGTAATTTACAAAACTCTTATTATTTAATTTAAATGTTACTAGATACAGTCGTGAATATTTCTATCTTTAATAACGGATTGAAATCAAGAAAAAATTCTTTAATTAATAAAATGGAATCAATGTAGCTTACGATTATACCGCAAGTAAATAAAAACCTAAAATAAAATAAAAACCTTGAAGATACGATAAGCCTCTGGAACAAAAAGAAAACGAACTTTTCAAATCATGAAGGGTGAACATTTTGAATCAATTGTTTTTTTAGTAACAATTATCTATACATCTTAATGTTTAGTCATCTTCATTTTTCCCGCACTTTAGTGTTTCAACATTCTATAGATACGTAACTCACAAATCAACTTGAAGTAATCGTTAGAATAGCATTCTTAGAATGCTTACGATGGCCGATAAGTTTCCATGATTATAAATGCAACATTCTCGATTTTTTTGTATACGCCACATAAAATTTTTACATGTTTGATATAATGCTAAGAAAAAGTATAGATATGAGTAGATGTAAACCAGAAGTATCATAGGTGTGAATAAGCAATTTGAATCATTCCATGGTCATGCAGTTCCTTTAAATGATATGACTATAATTTTAAGATTTTTATAATGCATATTTTAACGCAAGTATTTCTGACGCATTTATTATTTTCATATTTTGTAAGTGGTGGCCCAGAAGAACAACAAGGTGTTAAGTATGCAAATAAATGCGAAGGTAACTATATACATACAATTGATAATACTCATTGATAATTTTTTAGAAATGTACAAAGAAAGCAATATATCATTGTTTTGTCATAGTTTGCAAAGTTGTTGCCACTGAATTAGAAGCTAAATTAGATGAAACTGGTAAAACACATGATGTACTTGAAATTGGGTATTCCGTTGATGATGTTTCACCCAAGAAAAAGAAGGAATATAAAAAATCGTAAATGTTAAATACGTTTCTTAAAATTTATTTTTTATGTATTCACAATTTTTATTTACTTAAACTTCGTTTTTATTCTTATTTAGAGAATTACGTTTAGTGGAAAGTACAGAAAATCTTTGTGAACGTATATTGGAATATAACATTCACAAGGAACGTACGGATAGTACACGATTTGCTAAGGGAATGAGTCAAACGTTTAAAACACTTCATGGACTTGCGTAAGCTACAAATACTAGAGAATACTGCAATTAAAAAAAGTAACGTTAAAAGTAATTATAATATTACATTTATGTAGGGATAAAGGAGTCAAAGTAGATCTAGGAATTCCATATGAATTATGGGATAAACCATCTGTTGAAATTACCACTTTAAAATCACAATGTGAAGATTTACTTGAAAATCATGAATCTGATATTGAAGAGTGGTATCATAATCATCAAGGAACAATTCCATTAACTAGGTACTGATTACTATTATTGTAATATTTCACATGGAAATTTTATTTATTGAATCTAATTCGAGTAAATAATTTTCATTTTACTAGGTATTTATGTTCAGAAAGAGTATTGAAGGATAATGATGATTCTTGTTTGAAAGAGAAAGGTGATACTGGTAATGAAGTTAAAAATAAAAAGAAGAAGAAGAAGCAAGATTCAAAAATTAAAAATAAAGAGAAAGATGTAAAAGAAGAACTGTAATTATTAAAAAAAATTATTAATATTATCAAACATTATTATTATTGCTATCATTATTCATGAATAAAATATTCTCTAATTCATAATAAGAAGATAAAATGAATAGAGATTGGATATACTGATGTAAAAAATGCAAGTCAAATAATATTTGATGTTCTATGAAGTCAGTTCTTTCTAATTAAAATTATCATTAAACTATATCTTTTTGTATCTAATCTATAAATAATATAAATACTGCCACTATTTAATTGCTATAATTATTAATATACTTACTTTTTAATAAAAATTTTACATTCAGTAAAAATGCATATTTATTTTAACTTTATAGCATTGAAGATAGCTACATAGGGATAAAACATGTTTCAAATTTATATTACATTTTTATTTCATTTTAATGAATATGTTATTTTATACTTGGTTTTTTCTGATTTTTATAAATTTAAAAGAGTATGAAGGTATACTATTAAAGGGTAAAAGAGCTCAAGATGGTCAATTTCCCTGGTTGATACAGTTTCAAACAGTAGCACCATGTGGTGGAGTACTTCTTTCACCAGATTGGGTTTTAACCGCAGCTCAATGTGTTCATGATAAGAGAAATGTATGATCCTTTTTCTATCTAGCATTAAAAAAAGAATATGTGTAATCATATTTTAATTTTATTTTATTTTAATTACAGTCCATTACTTTATTTGCAACTGGATTAAATGGAGCTAATTCTAAACAAACATTACCTGTAAAAGCTACATATATATATCCCACTTATAAAGCTTATTCTGTTCTTCCTGATCGAGATCATAATATAGCTCTTTTGAAACTTACCAAGCCATTTGACATGTGTCATAATAAAATAATTCTACCTAATTTTATGTCTGTCAAATATGATGATGATTACAAACTATGTTTGATATTTGGATGGCAAAGTTATGTTTCATTATCTTCAAAAGTCCTAGCTAAGCCAATTCTATATTACGAAGTAATTCTTAATTCTTGGAAAATGTGTACATATATGATAAAAACAAATAAAAATTATACAAATGTATTTTGTACAATGGTTGAGTTTAAGGATGAAATGAAAGCCTGTGCTGGTAATCCTGGTTCTCCAGTTGTATGTGAAAATCAAAATCATGAAATAACTCTAGTTGGAATCGCATCATGGACAAATTTTTCTTTAGAATGTGGAGATCTTCCAACATATATTGACCTTGGTGCATTCAGGTATAAGTTTAAGGATAAAGTTAACAAAATTTTCATAAAATTTTTAAAGTTTTGTATATGAAATTAGTTTATATGAAAATTAAATTATAATGCATAATTTTTGCAATTAGAATATGGATGAATGACTTAGTTTTTAATAACAAGCACACAGAAGAATGGAAAAATAATAATAAATTAAATGAAAAACAATGTATATTTAAAAAAAACACTACTGTACATAGTTGCTTATGGAATCATTCAGGTCTTTTACAGTTAGATACAGAAATAAGTTATTGGCCAGGCAAAAAAGTGCATAATGCATCTGAAATGATACAACACGAAGACATACCTACAGAAACTATGAATAAAACTTACTTTTGGAATAAATTACATCAGTCTATTTCTAAAAATCATAATAATAAAAATGCATCTTTTTTTGATGGTCACTACGAAACATCTTACACAGATATAACAAACGAACCAAGTAACAATATTTATAAGTATAAAGAAATTGGAAGTTTTCAAAATAACAATCAAATTGTAGGAAATTTACAAAAACAATTTAGTGTTAGAAATAAATCATTATTATATAATAATCAACAATTTCGTCAAATTGTAATAAAACAAAACGAGGATCAAATAGAAATAGATGATTTTGAATTGTTATTGCCATTTAATTTTGAAAACATAAATGCTTCTTATTCTAATATTGTTGTAGCATATCCCAAGAGACTATATTTATTTTTTCATTTTGTATTTTGGAATCTTTACATTCTTATTTATACATAATACTTGGTATTTAAATATACACATGTATTATATGAAATTTTTTTACAAAATATACAGTTTGATGTGATACACTGAATTCAAACAAACTAAAAAATTTATGTGTTTTGCTTATTTCTAAACATTGGTGGAACCCATTTCTTTTTGCCACGAAGTTCTCTTAAACGTTGATATTCTTCTTTAAAATCTTCATGTTCATCTCTAAATAATCCATAATTTCTTAGGTGTTTCATTAATAAATCAGTTTCAACATGTCGAGGATAATAGTTAACGATTTCTGGTCGTTTGTTTACCGGTTTCTCGCTAAATAATTTCACTACCTTCATAGATTTGTTATTCGTTGTTCTTGTTACTTCGCCAAATATTCGATTACTTAAACGATTCATATGTTTGGTATAATTGGTACCTGCTTTTGCAAGTTGTAAGTATTTGTCCGTTTTAGAAAAGTGTATCATTATTTCTTTTCTAAATATATCCTACACATAGAGGAACAAATTAAGGTTATACAGGTTAGAAAGCACAATACTAAATTAAATATAATTAATTTTGAATTTGAATCATTAATATATGCTGTTTCAATTAAATACATACTATTTAAATGTATAAGGATATAATATAATTCTTATTATTCGTTTCTTCTAGAATTTTCGACTCCAGTTATAACTAGAACTGTTCTGATTGAATGTATGAAAATACCAAGATTTTTTAAATGAAATCATATTAAATTGTTAATTTAAAGCAAACATAATTTTTTACAGAGATAAATAAAAAAATAAAAAATAAAAAATTATATAAGAAACTTCTATACAACAAAGAAAGTTCTATATTTTTTTAATAACTAATTTACAAATATATAACATTATTATAATTACATGATGATCTTACGTTTTATTTTTTTAGCATATATTTAGCAGAAAAACATACATCGTAGAATTTTTATTACATTATAAATATTTATTTTATTTTTACATTTATTCTATTATGTCTATATATAATATAAATATTGCAGGATTTTTCTAGTACATTTGGAGAATTTAAATTTCCCGCCTGATAGTCAACGTTTTATGGCGCAAAATGTTAAGTCGAGGAAATTTGAATTTCAGTGATTAAGCATTATAAGCGCTGGTATTTAAAACTTTTTCTTGTGATAAATGTAAGTACATTAATGTTTTATTAGTTTTCTTTGACTATAAGAAGTAGTAACATCAAGTAATAAAATTAATAATAAAAAAATTTTAGCGATACAACAATATGTATATGTATGCATAGCTACTGTATCATTAACCTATTTACATATCGTAATTAGAAAAAAAATGTCTTGGATATTGTATTGGATATTTACAATTTCTTATAAATATATATAAATGTGATGCTTCATTTTTAACAGAAATGGGACTATATTTAAAAAATCAAAAAATTTGTAGATGTACAAATTGTTATATCCATAAAATTAATAATACAAAAAATGAGTTAACCTATTTTTCCCGATTCATAGGTTAAACATTAGAAAACATTAAGAAATGCAATAATTTTTTGTAAAAGATTTGATAAGAAAATAAAAGATATTAGATCTTTATTAAAAAATTCATTGAAGATCAGCGATATATTTGATCACTTTTTATATAACATATATGGAATAAAAAGATAATAAAATATCCAATAAATACAGAATTGTACAGTATGAAATAGAAAAATTGTAATTGTTAAAATCTTTAATTTTATCAGAATATTAAGAAATTTATGCAGATATAATTAGATCAATTCCGTATTATTTATTCAAGCATCGTAGACAAACACATTACTCTTTTCATGTTCGGCTACCAATAGAAATTTCATCTAATAAATCTAAACCATCAGTCAATAAATCAATCCCTGTAATCCACCAATGAAATTTTCCCTTTAGTATTAATCGGTTTTCGTATATCCGTGAAATTCAGTTAGAACGCAGCAAATGTATTCAATAAATCTCGAACAGTCTACTTCAAAATATATAGTCGTGAATTCTTAATAAATTCGGTAAAAAATTAAAATTAAAATTTTTTATATTAAATTTTATTTATTGTATTTACAGTTATATAATCTATAATTTGCAATATTTTATTATATATATATATATATATATATATCGTTTAGGAAAGTTTTAATAATTATTTAAAAAAAATAAAATAAAAGTAAAAATTTTATTAAACGATATTTTTTGATGCTTCTTCATAGCTGTTAATTAATTTTGATCGATAGCTTAATCAATAAATTTTATCTACAATCAGTGTATATATTTGCAACATCGAGTTTTCATATAAACATAGCATTGTACATTGCTTTAATGAAAAAAACATTAAACGGTGAAAGATCAAGTAAATGATATGATTCAACATTTTAGTCTAGTATACCTTACAAGTAGATTTTGCCAATCTTGTTAGCAAACATAATAAGAAGCTTGCACTGTGCAAGAATGATCAACAGTGGCTAGTAAATGTGTTAACATTAAGATTAATTACAATTATAGACTAATTCCTAAATTCATGCTGAGTTTTCATTTTCTGTCTTTAAGTTTTTGAATTCTGTTGCTCGTTACTAACTATTAATTATATCACTAAATTGCTATTAACTATTAACTATATCATTATAAATAAAGTCGAAACTAACAAAAGAAAAATATTAGCAATTTTTGAGAAACATTCAGAAATGTAATTTTTTAATTTTTACGTTTTGTAATATTTCTTAATATGCTTAATATATATATAATGTAATTTTATATGTAATTTTATATATAATATGTAATTTTATAACAGAACATTTTATATGTAATTTTATATATAATATGTAATTTTATAACAGAAATTATGTATTAGACCTTTACAATAAACTAAATCATAATTTTTACTAACATTCAATTCATTGACAAACATTTTACGAAATATATATTTTAAATATGTAAAGAAATGTATTTATATCTATATACACATTTCACGTGTTATACTAATTTTTTATTTTCCCGTAGTATTGTGAAAGGAGCCACACCAAATTCACTGATAATAACAAAAGAATCATAATCAACGTGTTGGTATTATATGTACAGATTGGAGATTCGTGTGGCATGAATTTTTTAACATTTGAAACAGAAAGTATTTTTTATCTTTTTATCAAAAATATATTTACATAAAAAGTAAAAATAAAAAAGTTAGAACTTTCGGTTTATCCCTTTTTAATCCCATTTCAAACCTAGATCAAGCTAGTTTTATCAAAAATTGCATCATATCCATATATAGTTCACGATATATGTATACCTCTTAGAGACAATAAACATTAATTTATTTTTTTTTTTTTTCTTCATAGAGAACTTATTTTCATCAATGCCATAGGAGGCGTGTAACGCAATCGAGAGCCATCCAGGTCGAGAGGAAGGTTAACACGGTCAGTTTATTTATTACGGATTATAAGCGGGCCGAACATTCGTCGAGGAATATTCTTATGACAACAATGATTGAAGATATCGGCACGTAAATTACTAGCAAATTAGATTGCCGAGTTTTGTTGAGGCTTCCGTAAGCGAATCGAGAAACCTGCCAAGAGTCAGCGCATCTCAGAACTTCTCCGACCTCCGGCAAGGTGAGTGCTACTCTCTAATATTCGGCCACGATTATTGGGACGGACTTCCTGTGACACGTGCCCCCTGCCGTACACACCGAAATTCTGTTTACTAGGTAAGTGCCAGTATCGAGAATACCTCTCGGAAATATCATCGTCAAGGAAAAATACTCGATTCGATTCTGCGAGCCGACCGGTTTCGAAACGACGGATCTAGACCTAGTTGATAGAGATAATTATTATCTATGAAGAGCGGTGTCGCGTTGTCTACGTGCACTACGTCGGTGTGAATGCACCGAGCTATTTTCAAAATAATCGGGAAAGTTTCGGCTGGCATTCTACGACGCCGATTTTTCAGCTATCGTTGATCTTCGTCTTAGCGTAGGTATACACGCCTTGCATTTTAAGAGACATTTCTCGAGGCTGGAGTGAATGTCGACGGCAAATGGTTGTAGCAGGTTTTTATTCTCTTCAACTACGAACTTTACTTTCCTCCGTTGGCAAATTACATTAACCGCAGAACGTAAACGTTCGCAGTTTTTATCCTTCTATCAAGGTTTATGTTCGATCATTGGTCGTTAAACAAATAATATGTTAAGCTTGATAAAATGTGTATTATTGCGTTATAAGAAGAAAAGTCTGGAGAAATTTTATAGACTTTTATATTAGAGGAACGTTGAATAATGTTCTTCAAAAAAATTGGAAATGTAACATATTTTATATGAATTGCTGTATAATTTATACAGAATGATCTACAAGAAACTGAACGTAACTTGCTATTAAAAAAAAAAAAAAAAAATGAAACTTTTTTAGTAAGATTTCGTTCGCGAGAGGATTGGCTTTGAAATTTTGAAAACGTAGCAAGTACGTGAGTATCCAACTCATAAGTAATGACTTCATAATTCTTGGTGTACATCTTTTCCTTTAGAATCTATTATCTTATCAATGTAAGCTAAGAAAAATACCGAATAGCACAAAATGTTTAATGAAGAGAGATGTATACTGTGGTCCAAATTATTACTTACATGTATATGCTTGATACATCGATTTCTGCAGAAACGGAATCTTATTTTAAAAAAACTGTATTTTTTTATTGTCGATAGTTCCTGCTGCATTTTGCACAGGTACAGCCTATATAAATTAGAAGAAAAATGGTTTAAGAAAAGGATAGAAGGATAAATTGCACAACATAAAATATTTCTACAAAATATGTGTAACGTTTGTTATACCAGCCTAACAGAATTTAAAATTTTGTTTGTTGCATATACAACACATGTAGTAATGTGGGTTACTTACATGGTGTCCCATAAATAAGTATAATATCACCAACAAAACAGTGATTTTTCATAAAAAAATATTTGTTACACTTGCGATAGTATATTGCGATGGTATAGTAAATGGATATTTACATGATGGTAATCATCAATTACACGTAGGAAAATTTTCAATAGATGGGAAAGTGAATTGAAATGTAAGCTATGATTATTATCATAATCTAAAATATGGAAGAGATAAATAGCAATATAAACATTCGCATCTATATGTACAGTATATGCGTGATAAAAATCAATCGCTGTGATAGAATTTACGTGAATATTATTTTTGGCGTGATTTGTAGAGGAATGACCTTGGGTAGCAGAAATGTTCGATTTGAACAAAATATGAAACATTAAATTAATTTAATTATTTCGATTTGGATGCAAGTTTCAAATAATCTTTATATATAATTATTTGTCAAATATTTTAAATTAAATTTTTTTCTTCTTACATTTTCATAAATAATAAATTCTAATAAACCTATACAAATTGGAAATATTGTAAATTTAAAAATTAATTAATTAATGTTTTATTTTTGAAAAACTAGAAGAGAACTTGTGCCAAAGTAAGGCAGCTATCGGCTGAATCTCTAGAAGTGACATTATCGCGATTTTATTTTTAATTAATAAGAACTTGATAACTTACAATATCGTCTCGCAGAAATAAATTTTTGAAATTAATTTCTTTTCCAAGTTAATGTGTTATTTTTAATCTGTAAATATTTAAATATTTATTCCATTTAGTGAGTAAATCTGAAATTTATTATAGACATTTTTTCTTTTTCAAAATTTCAACTTATATAACTTTATGTGAACATCTGTGTGACTCGAATATTTCTTATTGTCCCAAGTCTGTTTCGGAGCATGCTCCGCTTGACATCGTGAAAGTAATTTCTTGGAAGATTTTATTGCAAATAAAATAGCGACTACAGTTTACATGTACGATCAGACGTGAGTAAAATTATCCTGCACGTTTACTGATATAGCAACATTTAGAATTAAAGGTAAATATTCCTTCTCGTTTCTTTTATTTATTTGTTTTTCTTTGTTATATATACAATGCTTTCATAAAATATTTTTCAACAAAAATAGTTATATCCTTATAGAGAAAGGAAACAGGCAATCTCGACATTTAAGATGATATAAAAATTAAGATAAGATAAATATTTTTTTTTTTTTAGAATTTAGATTAACTAAAAATATTTTGTGAGATGCAAGATTATCATTGACTGGGTTTGTTCGGAAAACGATACTTATTGTTAGTCACGTTGAGGAAGCCGTAGGAATCACTAGCTACTCTGTGTGAAATGTGTGTACGAATTCGATAGTTACAATGCGTGACACAATAATCTTGGTCAGTGTGTGAGCAAAGCGACGGATTGGCTTTTTTTTTTTTATTATATTGTTACAGATATTTGAGAATCGTATAAAACAGTAACACAGCATCTCTTGTCAAATGATAACACGGTAGTTGAAGAATGGAACTACCATTATCACTACCGTTTAATCACCGCATTTTACATCATGTTTCAAACGGATATTCAAATTTAATTTATTTATGGCTTTTTTCCCTGCCTAACGGTCATTACCGACAGAAAAGAATAAGTGTATAAACTGTAAAAAGAGAAGAGGGTGTTAGAAATTTATTATGGGTACGCGCATTGTGTTCCATGTGCTCCTCGTTAAGATTCAAGCTTCGTTGCTTCCGCTGGAAGCGTCAAAGGGTTCTTGATTGAAAGTGCTTAAAAACAGCTCATCAATGAACAGAAGAATAAGTATTTAGAAAAAAATAATTCCACTTGTATGTTACTGCAAATACCACTAACCGGAGAGATTATAATTCGCAAAGATTTGATTTACTCGTGGAAATTTTTTAGTTAGTCGAAGTTCAACTGTAACGAAACTTTATATCAAAGCAATTTTACTCTGGATGCTGTAACTGTTAAGTTACATTATTTATAATTCCGCAATTGTCAGCAACAGCATCCCCTCACTCGAGGCAAGGTAGCAGAGAGTTTAAATCTGCAAGAAAGAAAAGGTCATCTCGTTTCTTTACTTAAGCGATCTCCTGCTAATTTGCCAAGCTCATGCCAAACGCATGTTTCTAACTGAAGGAGAGAAATCCAAGATCGAGTCCCTCGAAAGCCGCCTGTACCAAAGTACCAAGTGCCTTTCGGTATAATGACCTGTAACGCGTATATGGATTATAACATAAAACAAGGATGAAATGGCTACATAATGAAATGGCACACGATGACGGTTTGGACGGTCTCGTGTGTACGAGAAACAGAATCGGGATCCGTTGTCATCCTGCGGAGGTCGCGACGAGGGAAAAGTTCGTGCACTTTTCCTCGCAGAATCGAATTTCCTGTTGCCAGTCTGTGACGTAGGTTTGGTGTTCCAATAACAGGAGTCCCCATACATAGTCGGTTCTATTGATTTTTCGTAGAGGCGCAAGCGCTATTCGGCTCTTATCTGGCAAAAGGGAGGCGCGGCTATAACCATGGATCCCAGTGTACTCGCTAACATGGACAAGGACGCACTGAAGAAGCAGATCGAGAACATGAAGTACCAAGCTGATATGGAACGGTGGCCCCTGTCGAAGAGTATTGTCGCGTAAGTCCATTAACCCCTCTTTTTTTCGCCCATCTCTTCTTTTCGTTCATCGTTGTCGCAATTTCTTTCTGATTTACACTCAGAATGCATGTTTCTCAGTTCTATTTTCTCATTTCATTTGGTAGATAATGGTCACGGCGAGGATGGTCCATGGAAAGTTTCGTGCCACTCGTTCAACAACTCCATCTATCTCATCCTATATTCATCAATTGTTCGTGAAATTTCGTTTGCGCCGCTTTATTTTGCCGTTGTCTCGTTTTGATACGCTGATTAACACGCAATGTTGTTTCGCATTCATCTTTGTTATCGTGAGTCGCTTGGTTGACAACTGTAGTAGCTGTCTTGTCTCATTTTAGCCTTTGCTTCATCATAGTTCGAGTAATTGGTCCTGTGTGCTTTTTTTGGTTCAATTTGGCCCGCCCTGTCAATGACTTTTGTTGTAATTTATTTGGTAACTTCTAATCGTTTACCGATTACACATACCGACGCACATTTGTCAGACTGAATATTTTACTTTATATTTTCTTTGCCCTCTAGGTATTGTACAAAGAAAGTTCAGTGAGACGATCCATCATTTTTTAATAAGTTGCATTGATGAAGTTAAAGAGGGTTGAGGATTTAGACAAGGGGATAGTGGTGACTTAAATATTCAGACTTTGACGAGCTCCTGCAGGTTTCTAGAGAGATCTTTACACGAGAGACGTGTTCGCACAGTAACGTTTTCCGCCGTTCTTCAGTAATTTTTCTAATGATATACTAAAAAACACAGGAACGTTTTGTGATGGTAAAAGTAAATCCTGTGATCATTTTTGAATACATTCTACGAAGTATCAGTGGAAAATGTTTAATAGTCAGAGGTATATTTTTATTCGTATATTTTATATGCATTTTACGATATTGGAGAATTAGTTTTGCTTCGAGTGGTACTGTCATAGACAAATTTAGTACGATATAATGATCGGCAACGGGACTCTGTGTCTTATGTTACTTTCAATTTAAATTTAAGATTGTTTAATCTAAAAAAGTACCAAGTGATTCATTCAAATGAACCATGATTTTGTATTACATTTCGGATTTCTTTCGAAACTATTTTTAGCTAAGGAAGTATTCATAGTACACACGTGTGATGAAAAATTTAAGTAGCAAATAATTTCTGTAAGTTTTTGAACTTCTGAAATTATATTTAGATAATTCGAAAATTGATAAAAACAGAATATTGATGAACGTGATACATTGTTACAGTGGACGTAAAATTTAAATAATTACTCGCGTTTTTTTTTCAATTTAATGTAGCATTTTTGTATAATTTTTGTTGATAATTTTTCTATTTATATGGATATTCCACGATTCTATTTAAATAATAATTTAAATTGCAACTTTGAACTTCATGTTGTATCATATTGTTCTATACTTGAAATACGTAAAATTTTTTTATTATGTTCAGTTAGTTACATGCGTGTTTGTATGTAAATATGAATAAACCACTAAACTACGAATGTTTATTAAAAAACTGATGATGAAATGTACTATATAGAAACTAGATTTATTTCATATTACATGTGTTTTGCATATTTTTATAGTTGCAAGAATATACTAGATATTTCATATTTCTTTCTATACAGTTATATAGATATAGCATACTAATATTTCAACTGAGATAATAATGATAATAATTCAATTCTCAAACATAAAAATTTTCACGTATTGCCGTGCTTATTAAATTTACTATTATTTCAATGTATCACTATTGTTCAATGTATCTATACTATTCTAAATATAACGAGACAGTTCTTTTAAAGGCTTCGTATCTTTTTATTCAGTCTGTTCTTGCTCGTACACATTCGCTTGTTCAAATTCACGCTTGCCTTGCCTCCATGTGAAAACTGTTTTCTCCTTGAGATTCTTATGGCGTATTCTAGAGACCTTGAAAAACTTTAGAACCGACGCGAGACAAACAATTTTATCTCGCTATCTTTGATAATCAAAAGAATTTGAACAGCCAAGGAAACGATTACGAAGATTTTTCCAGCGGAAAATCTCGCAATCGTAAACGGCAAGGACTTGCCTTACAGAAAGGCCGATTCTATCATGGATCTCTTGTAATCGGGCTAACATTGAACTCGGCGAGATTATCAACTTTCTTTCCAATTGTTTTGTCATTTTCTCTGTTACCTTGTGAGTATTCAATTGTTCGGGAAATTAGTTGCAAAATTGGAGAAATTATGCTAGGCGTATACGTATGTATGTAATATTAATATCATACTATGTAAAACAACGAAGGAATTGCGCTCTCTGAATAATCGAATGTTTGAGTAATGGATTTTCGGATAATGGGGATTCTACAGTCATTAGATCGTCATAGATTACGGATAATTAGACGTATAATCAAACTTGTGACAACCCTCAATGTCAATCAACCCGCGGTCTCTCTTCGATTCTATTCTGTTAAAAGGGTTACATCCAGTAATAACTATACATAAGTATATACATAAGTTATTCAAGTTATTAAAGTTGCTCAACTCATTCGAAGAGATGAAACTTTTTTCTAAAATCAAATTAGATATTTCCATGACTTATTTCTGTCGCTTAGTTTGAGAATTCGTCAACTTTTTTTTTTTAAATATTTAGAGACATCCATTGAAGTTCAAGAAAATTGATTTAACGATCAACAGGTTGAAAATTATTGACGTACGTAAAATGGAATGAGAAGTAGATTGGATAAATAGATCATAGTGATTACATTGTGACAAATTTGTAACACTAGAATGTCAATTGATTGAGATGATTAAAGAATTTTGAATGAACTCTGTACGACATCTTACATACATAACAAATACATGTATAGCGTAATCAAAAATCTGTATAAAACTATCATAATTTACTATCATAATAACTATTATTTTGAAATTTATAGAGTCTAGCGGAAAATCAAAAGATTATTAATAACAGTCAGGAATTAATTGTAAGGCAGGATCAAAATTAGTACACAGCACAAATTAAGTTTCTTCATTGGCAATTTGAGGTATTATTTTTCTGCGTTGATTAGTCTCGGGATTCCAAACTTGTAGAAAAAGGAAAAGTAGGTGTTTATCGACGAACGCTATTTTTAATATTGTTTTATGTTATACTGGAATAATAGGTCAAATCAATATTAGTAATTCTGGTTTTCTGGCGTAATGGATTCAGAGTCCTTCAGGTCCAATGGATACTTGATAGTCAATGAGTCAATGAATCCTCGTTTTGAAGATTCACGCTCGTCGTACATTTATACCTTACAATTGAACATCAAACATTCAGCAATCTTTCGATCGTACACGTGTATTACACGCTGTCGTCTGATCTCAAGACTTTTTTCGTTAATTACTCTTTCTTGAACTATCACGTTCCTTTATCTCGGCGCTTAATTAGCACAATGTTGCTATCTTGCATGCACGGTTATCCGGTTTGAAATGACGAGGATTCATAAATTTTACAAAACTTCCCTCGCTGATGATCTTAAACAGGCAATTAGGAATTTTATCATTTTCTTAACGACGATACCAAATTATTGTTACCTTTGAAACGTTCAACGAACGTTGATATCCCTTTGAATACAATGGGAATTTTCCTTCCATGATTTCAGTGTAACTTGACGTTACGTCAAGTCGTGATTTGTTATTATACACGCGATAAAATAACAATTCAGACGGTAGTTAAAAGACGATGAATCGAACGACGTAGTATCGACCGGTCCGTGTTGATATCAACTGGAACGAAACAATCGTCTCGGTGTCGTGTAAAGATCGTTCGGGCAATGTGATCGGAGAAGCCGCTTCCTAGACAAATCGAAGAACGCGGGACGTGTAGATGACGTATACCCGGTGCAATCGGTGTGGCGTGGCGCGACCTGCCGCAACACGCGGCCAGTAATCGACAGTCAAGGTTACATTACACCCGTATTACATGCTGGGACAGGATCTCCTTGGACGTAGAGTATCTGTTAATCGCATATTCGTGGATTAACCGCTTTTAAACTCTAGCTACTTGCATCAACTATCTCACCTAGAGTCACACAGTGATCACAGGTAGAAAGATCACGGTTAGATCTTTCTCTATTTTCAGTGAAATGAAATAATGTCTATCAATGTGAAGTTAATAAAGGATAGGAGAGCGGTGGGAAAAATGACACGTTATTACAACACCGAGCGGATACGTTATAATGAAACAGATGCCGGTTGTCACTGTTGACAGCGAGATCTCGAACAAATCGCAGGCAATTAGCCTGGAATTTCGCTGGGGTGTGTAATTAACGTGATAGCTTGGTGTTTGATAACATATGGGAAGTTGTACACGGTGTTGCGGAACGAACGCGGAACGAACCACGGCGTTGTCCGCTGCGGTTTTTCGAGGGGAATCGCAACGCGAAAGCAAAAAGTTTCCGCGGTCTGCACTCTCGGAGAGTGTCGAAGTGAAAGGCACTTACCTCTCTCATTTTTTTTTTTCCTTCCCCTTTTGTCGATCGAGCTAATCTCTCGCTCGCGCTGTCGTACGCCTAACGCCGAACATTCTACCTCCTCGAGCGCATTTCCCGATCGCGCACGTCGTGATACATTGAAAGGAACGGCATTGTCCGCGCCAACGTACACAGTTGCTCATGAAAGTACTTGAATACCATAGTACCACCATAGAGACACTTTTGCGTGTACGCGATATGTATTCAAATTTCACTGGTAGCGAGACGCGATTATAGTCGTGATTATATTAGTGAAATTCGAAACCATTCTGAAAATGTATATAAAAGTTACGAGAGAGAGAGATGCTTCTAGTAGAAAATTAATCCATAAAAATTTCCTACCGCAAGTGTACTCCCGTGTTACTTGCGAAACTTCGCTCTCGCCGCGCATGGGAGAAGTTGGTTTCTTATCGTGTACTAACTTTATGCGTGTCATATTCCATAAAAATTTCAGCCAATAACTTGACAGAATGGAACACGTAAACGTGACGTGGGGAATAATGAAACGTCCGCGTGAGTCGGAATTGACCCAGTCTTCGCTTTCGCGTAGAACTTAACGTTTCCGAACTTAATATATTCCGAAGTTGATGATATAGTCTTTATTACAGGGTTCAGACGCATGTGAAGGTCTAGAAATTACGTTGTGAAAGTTGTAGAAACTATTTTCTATCATAATGGACGGGTCCTTTGACTGTAGTTAGTACAATAGAAGGATGTAGTTAGCAAGATATATTCTCACTGAATAGAATATAACTCATTTTTTTTTAGAAAGAATCGTCGCAAGTAATCGGATGATTCTCAATTAATTGCAAATAATGTCGTGTTTTAACGAGCAAAACGGCTCTCTGGAATAAGCATTGAAAAGTAACTTGTGCAAGCCGCAACAGGTCATTAACCCACATCCGTTTCTAATAAAGAGTGATAAGTGAAAGCTTATGATTTTCTCGCATTTTCTGCTGATCTGTGAGTTAACTAGAACAGAAAATTCTTATGACTGTAGCTATTATTGATATTCGTTAACAGAGATTGACAAAGATTGACAGAGAGATTCAATTAGAATTAGATTATTAGATCTTTACTTCGAAAAATCAGTTGCTTATTTCACTCAAGACGGCAAAGGTGATACAGAAATTTGATTTAAAATCGAATTAATGATTAAATGTAAGCGAGTGATTAAAAAAATTGGCGTACTAGGATATTGGAGTATAGTAAAAAAGAAAGTTGCTATAGTGTGGATTGAAAAGTATCCCACTTATTCCTGACTAATGTTAGAGATATTTCAATTATTAAAATTTCTAATCTACATTTCTCTTCTACGTTAGATAGGTTTATAGTTTGTATTATAAAATTCATAAAACTTCAGATTTAATGTTTAGACTAAAGACAAGACAAGACAAGACTAGTTTTAAGATCAATTTCTTCGTGTTTTGAAAAGAAATTCAATCAACAGAAATGATCCCATTTAGTATTACGTAATTCAGACCCTTTCTGTAGTTTATTAGTTTGAAAAAAAAGCGCACTGGAATCATACTTGCGATTGCATCTAGGTGTAGAACGACCTGCCTTATTCAACGACACAGCTGAAGAATTTGTGTCGTATCCTTCCAACTTATTCTTTATGATCAGATGTAAATTCGAGATATCCAGAGATCAGTGCGAACTACGAGACGCAATAGAAAGTATAATAAATTCAACTTAATCGAGAAAGCCGATATTATTGCAATGGATATTATTAGATAAACTCTAAATGGCGGCGAACTTCAGAATAGATAATTTCTATACTCTTAATATTATAAAAATTAGCTTATAAATATTGTAACAAAAGAGAATCTGAAAAGCTTGAAGTACTATCTACTTTGAAGTACTTAACACCGTAAATATTTTACCTTTTTTTTTTTCATTGAAGAGAAAACTATTCCGACATCGTGGAATATAATTTGGACGTAAATTGGTTAGAATTTGAGGTTCGTCGGGAAAAATTATTCGATCGCGATCAAGTAATCGTAAACCTTCGGAACACAGAATTCTCCTTGAACGCAAAATCGGCCAGAGTGGCCGCCAGTCCCTTTCACCGAGCCTTCGCGGCGAAACGGCCAACTATTCGTTCCTCGCTGCACTTTTCTTTGTATCGCTTGCAACCTTGTTACATTTATAATCCTGCATGTATATATCTCGTCTCTGGAGCACCTAGAAATCTATCTCGATTTCTCCGTCCTTTTCTGAAATAATCGAATATATTCTTCAATACTTATTATTACGTCAGACATACGTATCGAATAAAACAAAGTAATCAAGTCAATGTATTTTAGTAATATTTAAAAATTATGAAGTTAAAACCAATTAAAACAGTTTTTTAATGGCCATATTTCTTAAAGCAGTTTCGAAGATTATCACGTATGGGTATTGAAACAAAGTCCGTATCAATTACGTCTAAAAACTTAAACTACAAAATTAATGATTAATTTTATCGAGATCGATATCGACAGTACAGACAATGCAAGTTCTAGCCAGTAGGTAAGTAATGCGACTGTTATATAATGATAATGTATATAATGAATTACATAATGGCGATATGGGAAAATTATTGATCATTGAACGTATGAACACAAAATCAAGTAATGGCGGTCAACGTACATAATTATCTGCTAATTTTCCGATCGATTTCTTTTCTTTAACTGTTTCCATTTTGAAAGAGATCTCAGCACTGAAAGCTTGTATTTTACACGTTCTCTTCTCTGTAATTTTACACGTTGAAAGTTATTCTAATTTCGTTCCTTCGTGATTTAGTAAGATCAATCGCCACGTGTAAAATTTATGAATTTCAATCGGTAATAAATGAAAGTATCGTTTCTCGATTCTCAAAGCGATTCAGGCGACTCTTCACCTTTTCCGCTGGATGTTCAATTTCAGTCTGTCTGTCAATCATCGATATTAGTCGAAGGAAAAGATTAGTAAAACATGTGCCTGCTTTCAGGATGAGGGAATACGTGGAAGAGAATGAAAAGACTGATCCACTGATACACGCGCCCGACAAGAAGAACAATCCCTGGGCCGAGAGAGGCAAATGCATAATCATGTAATCAGGACATAGAACCGTAGGGGAGAAGGAGAAGGAGAAGAGGCGAGGAAGCAACTGAGCGAGTATCATCCGAAGCGAGCGAAAGAAACGAGGAAAACGTTTTACAGCCGCGTTTCTCAAGTTAAACCTATGCGAAACGAAAAGAGAAAACTAAAAAGGGAGGTGCGGACAGGTTAAGATAAAGATAAATAAATAAATAAATAAAAAGAAATACATACGCGTAAAAGAGGGAAAACGTCTAAAAAAAGAAAAAAAAAGAAGAAGAAAAGAAAGGAGAAAAAGACAGACAGGAAGAAGGAGAAAGAGATTAAAGAAAGGTTAAGAAAGACGCGCGAGACGTATGAGAAGGAAGAAGAGGAACAAGAGGAGAATGAGAAATCAGGCGATGGCGAAGCGATTTGGGTGAAACGCTGGAAGAGGAAGGTGCCAGGAAAGCAGAGAAGTCTCAGAAGGAGGAGCGATGTTGGCGTTGAAGCGAAATCAAAGTAGCCGGAGCAAATTATTCAACAATCTGATTCTTCGCGGTTACCTGTTCGTGGTCCGGCATGCAAACAAACGTGCAGCGCGTTTCAGCTCGGTTTTCTTCGTCTCTCTAATCCCCGCGGTCTCTCGAGTCGAATCCTCGAGTTATCCTGAATCGATCTTGTGGTCCTCGATCTGGTCGAAGCCCCGATCGACCCGGCCAACGACGAACAGAGACGCGAACAAGTATTGTGTATCGATATTAATTGGTTAAACTTTCACCTCGTGTATCTGTCGCTCTCTATCTCTGTTTCTTTCTCTCTCTCTCTCTCTCTCTCTCTTTTTCTATCTTTCTTCTGCCTCTATTATCCTTCGTTTCCTTCTTTTCGAACGGCCGCTCTCTTTCTTTCGAAACAAACGAACTTCCCCTTACCGAGTGGGCTCGATGCCAATCTGCTCGAGGATTTCCGAAAAGCAAGGACACTAATGGAATGGCATGGGGACACGGTGAAAATTTAATCGATTTGATCGATCAATGAGGACGAGACGAGAGAGCAGGCGAAACGGCGCGAAACGAAACGAGGTTCTCCGCGCTACGCGATACGCGCTTCCGCCTCGTCGTCGTTCCGAGTTCCGAGTTCTTGGATGAGTTCTGAATATATCAGTTCCGATTCGATTCAATTCGTTTCGACTCGAGCACGTGTTACGCGTCGTACATACATACATCGTGTGCAATTCGAACCTAGTACCACGGAAAACTCTTTTGAATCGTTCATTATATCGTGTAAGGATTATTTATCTTAAGTACACAATGTAATCTAACGTCATTATATGTACACACGTTATACCATATGTCGTACGATTAATACGCTATGCATATTTCTGCGAATTTCTTACGAAAATATAATATATTCACATCGTTTAATGGAGATTATTGTATGCTGCTTCGTCCTGTTCCTTTTACATCGGGCGTCGGCTTTTTTGTCGCGCGGTTTCGCGATCTAACGTTTTCGTTTATAGAAACGTGTTTTTCTGCGAGGAAAATGGCATTTCCTTTTTTCCTCTCTCTTTTTTTTTTTTTTTTTTTTTTCTTAATCAAGTTAGCCGATCGAAAGTTCTCGAAATGAAAATCTGAAAAAGTTTAATCCTGACTCGTTATTCGATTAAGCTCGTATTCATTTCGATCAACGTTAGGTAAATGTAAGGTGTTTTATTGCTCGTGAACATCTTGGATATTTTTGACGTTTATGAACGTATGAAATTTTTAATTATTAAACGATCTTCGAATATACCTAGAATGGTGATTTTAATAACATTATACATATTTCGTTATTTAATTCATATAATTTTATTGTTAAACATTTCCAACAGAGATATTCAAAAGTTCACGACGAATAAATTGTCTTGTATATTTCACAAATTTTTATTCCTACATATTTCAATGTCGTATTTTAATGTTTAACATGTAATCTAGAGATCATTTTTATATGATGTTCTATTTTAATTAATCTCAGTGATTACTGATTTTAGAAAACAAGAAAGAAAAATAGCAATGAGCTTAAGAAATTTGACAACTCCTCCGTTAATATTTATACACGCCGTATTAAAAAACACGGAATCAGATGCATCGAACAAGATTGCACGATTCCTTGAAACACTGAAATACATCATTGAGCAGTTTCTTTCTTTTTTTAAGTAATATTCACGTCCAGTCTTTCCTCCAAATCAATTGTACCGCAAATGACAATTTTGCATAGCTAAAACTGCCAGAATGTGTATGCTTGACAAGAAAGAAAAGAAAAAAAGACACACAAATAACTATATAAAGTCTGTATCTAAAACAGATCGTAAGACAGAGAGAACTTGAAAAAGAAAAAAAAAAAAGTAACACGTTTCACGACGCAGTGTACAGTATTAATTCGTACCAATTTCCTTTGTAATTTGTAAACGGAATTTATAATGTTATTAAAGCAATTTTCATTGCAGGGACCATCCTGTATGTACCACAGACAGATAAATTAAAGCAAAAATAAAGTAAATCATAAACGCCTAGCTCGAGAATTCTTTCGACGGGTTGTTCGAAATCACCGAGAAACTGCCGAAGAATACTATACTACCCGCGGAGGTGCGATCCTGCTGAACGGCCATTGACTTGGTCTGTGATCCTTCGCCCACGACATTCTGTATCGGTTCTGCTGTACATTGTTCAACCGCTGTTTCCACTGTCGATACAACGTGACTTCGTAAGCTCGTTCCACGCGGGGAAAACGTATCTTCAATCCTGAAACCCGCCGAGATTCCTTTCGGAGACGCTACGTTTCTGAAGTAACGTTTGCAATAACGTAGCTGCACGGTCTGTAAGAACGACCGATGAAAAGAGAATGGTGACGAAGAGAAGCAGGAGACGAGGAGGAGAAGGTTGTGCTTCCGTTGAAGTGTTACAGTTTTTCGAGTTATGTTCGTGACGCCGTCGGAGGGGACGCGTGTGAGAGATGAAAAGAGGAACATAATAAAAAATTAAAATTTTCACCTTTTAATAATGTGCAAGAAGACTTACGCATAGGCCGTTGTTACCTGGCTTTCCAATAGTTAATGATTATCGAGGATATGCCTTGGTCACGGTACTTTGTTTCGAGATCGTCTTCTAGACGATTTGGATGATTAAGAAAACTGATGGCAGTTCTCTTCCTAGAGAATGCATGATAATTTATTTCTCACGTGTTTGTGCTTGTAGGAAAGAGTTAAGGAAAAATCGGATATGCGGTCCATCCGTTTGCATGAGAAAAGAAAGATTCATTATTGGCAAATGTGTTCGAAGGTTAATATACTATTAAAATACTAGTGATAACGAATGTAAGATGTATTTTATGATTCGGTCGTAATCGATGTGCTCACATGTTTTAATAGGTATCGTATTTTCTCATCTTGGGATATGAAGAAGGAACATTGTAGTTGCTAAGTAATTTAAGTCTATATAGGATTTAATAACATATTTCTTCGTGGATTTTTGTTAACGAAGCTACCGCTAATTTAGAAAGAATTTTGGATGTTGAATCAGAATCATTTAACAGCGTCAAGTTTGTATACAAAATTCATATTGATATATGAAATCATTAAAAAAATCTTGAAAAAAAAAAACAACAAAGATACATGAGACACTTTAGCTTACTAATGTATTTGTAAAAACATGAATGATTGAAGTTACCTTTTATTTTTCTGCAGTTTTATCTAATTTATCATTTTTTTATGTATATAGAATGCATAACAAGAAAATAGATCTAAATGAAAATATACATCTTCGTTCATAAAATTAAACTTTTCACAGAAACCTTTATAAATAAGAAACATAATTTATCTTTCAAATGAAACACACACATATATAATTCTTTATTACTTTAATGATTTACACAAATAATTATCTTATCTTATAACTTTAATGAACGGTTTTTAAGACGTTTCTCAGTTCATTACCAAATAGCAGCTCCCTGCTGTGGATTAAACTTAGAAATTTCATGCAATTAACTCACAGGGCCGGTTATTTTACTGTTATATTCAGAATATTTTATCTTAATTAGTGATAATCCATCTAATTTATATGCAACGATGTCCCACCTTCTATATTTGATGTTTAAATTTAGAGATTAATATAAAGGACCAATTAAACGTATATTTCCAGACCCTCTATTTCTAGATTTGAATCTTCTTAATTCTTAATTGTAAAGACATCTCATTTCATGTAGACTTCTCATTAATTACTGATCCTGAAAGAGTTATAATAAACATCATGAAACTAGGAAAGAGTTATAATAAACATCATGAAGTTAAAAAAGTTACATAAGTTTCCAACAGAAAGAATATGTAACTTCATGTCTTCTTCCGAAAAAAGGAAAATGAATAATTAGAATAATATCTTCAGTAATACATTCGTCTATTAAAGGAAAGCTTTATATATTTTATATTTAAAGTAGTATATTTGAATATAATGAAATAGTATAATGAAATAAATTTTTTATTGCCTGATAAACAGAGATTGAAATTGAACTTTATTCAGCCAATTTCTATGAAATAAGCGAACTTATTATACTCGACTGATAATTGATATTATTTCCTCCGCAATACCATTTTACAATTACGCGTGAGAATATTTTCATGGCAATCAACTGTTAAGCATAAATCAAAGAGGTTGACTTTCTATATTTTTTTACTGTGCGACATTGCGATGTAAGTGTACTATTTGCTATCATTATGCAACCTTTGAACGCTTCTCGTTATGATGCACTACATTTCGAATGTTACAAACATATTATATAAAACTTCTACAGAAAAGAGTAACGTTTTTATTGTGAAGCAAAAAGTGAAATTAAAATCTTCTTTCAGCTCATTCGTGTATAAATAACTTTATGCATGAAGTATATCTCCACATTGGAAAAGTTAGTTTATCTACGAATTTAAAAAGTTAAATTTATATCTTGTTATGATTATATTTAAATACGTGAAAATGTTATAATGACAGAAATATTCATTTATTTTCTAGTACGG